CCCCCCTCCCCCCCCCCCCCCGCCCCGCCGCCCGACACTCCATGTAGTCAGCCGTAGGGCCCTTCAAACACCGAACACACACTACTTTAACGTTAATTTCACTCTCTCTGTGTGTGAAAAATCGCGAGAAAGTTGCAGCTGAAGGTGCTGACTTTCTTGTGACCTCCAAAACAAGATTGGATATTGCTCCCGATAGCCTGTCCATACAATGCAGGGAAGGACGCGAGGCAGAAAAACTCCCACGTGCCACGTCGTTCGCTACCTTTGGTCATAGGCACGGTCATGCCTACTTACCAATCCGGAATCTCGGTAAAAAAGTAAACATCGACACAACGCTCAGAGCTTGGTGTCAGGGGGTCGACAACCAAACCTGGACAAGGAAACGGAAACAGTTATTTCGCCACAGGGTGTGTGCGTCTAGTTGCCGCACATACATCGTGCTTTCACCATGGGCCAGGAGCCAGACTTAACTGGCGCATTACTGTCGTCATGAAGAAATACTTGCCACGTAGTTAGACGATGCCACCAAATCTCCTCCAGACGGTAATAAAAAACGATCGCTACCTCCACGACCAACGACTGGCTTGCCGCAGAGAAGGGCAGCATCAACCCTCCTCCATGGCCTGTTTCAATGGTAACACCAGCTACGCATAGGTGCACACACACATGCACACACAGGACACCGGAATATACTTTGCTCTTGATACCCTGCCCAAAGAGGAACGGAAAGGAGAACGCCACAGAGAAACCACATAAACCTGGTGTTTCACCCGCTACCTTGGTGACAAGAGAGGGTGCGACTACTGGCCTCACTACATGTAAGCTGTGTAAAGGCTGCCACATCTGCTGGACACCAGCGACAAAGAAAAAAAAACAGAACAGCGGATGGAAACCGATTAAAAAAAATAAAATAACAATAATATACTCGTCGTAAATAAATTGTACGGCGGTGTCTCTTCGTACCGCCAAGCAGCAGTCTATATGAGCATGCACGGCCGCACATCGTGCTCGCATCGCTGGCCACGAGAGCTACCCTACCATCCCTCCCTGAAGATAAAGAGATACTTGCCCACGAGACCACCCTACGGGTTCTCGATCTGGACATGAAACGCTCGCGGGACTCTAGACTTCGCGATCCAAGAGAGGTTCAACGTCAAGTTACCATCCATGGCCTGCACGTGAGCCGTGTCTTGCTGTCTGAAAAAGTACCTCGCTGTTTACGTCACCACTGACAATCTCTCCTACATGACATTGGCCGACGACTATACCCTCTCAACGCTTGCCATGTCATCGTAGTTGCCCCTCAGTGGAGGGAGGCAAAGCAGGGGAGGCGGCGGCGGCGGCGGCCGTAGCGGCCACATTGAACGGCCATGTTTACCTCCGGGGCGAATACATCCTGAGGAAGAGGGGCGAGAGCCGTCACCCATAGGTCGATTCCCCATCCACCCGCTCCAGCAGCAGCCATCCCCAGGTCAATCGCCCACGGCTCTTGTCCCCCCGCCGTACCCGCACCCTCGAACGCGAAACTCCCTGGCACAATGGGGGGAGGAGCGGTCATCGTGGACGATGCACCCACAGCACCTTCACCAGCAGTGGCGGCGGCGGGGGGGCCCTCCGAGACTAGATTCAAGAACGTGCCCAGACGGGGTCGTTGCCGCGGCCCCGTCGCGGCCGCCTCTCCCCACTCGCCGCTGCCGAGGCACTCCCGACTCCCACCGACTGCCCAGTGCTCGCCAAAGGTACCATCACCAGTCGGCCCCTCTTCCGCCACCATCGCGGAAACTGCCGGGGTCAGAGTCAACGTCACGTCGACCGCGCTCGAGGTGCCGGCGTCCGCGCTACCGTTGCCGTCGATGATCCCTTCGACGCTCACACACCCCACCGCTACGGGCTCGGACCAACCCTCGGCATCCACCGTCGCCTCTCCATCATCGCCTCGGGCCTGCCGGCTACCGCTGGTGCTGCACCCGCCCCCGCTGACCAGCGGCAGCAGCAAGCCCGTCGGTCGCGCCCACCGCACCTGCCCCCGGAGAAAAACCGAACAGAGCCCACATTTGAAGACAACTCGACCTGCTGCTGGGAGATGTCGGCGCTCGAGTTGATTCCGACGGCAGCATCGACGCCGGAGACGCTGTTGGTGCCTGTGGACCAGGCGTCCTCCGAACCGGAGTTGTGCGCCACGCCATCCTGCACGCTCTCTGCCGCACCGGTACCGACGGCGAGAGAAGCCCCGTCGTGCGAGGGCATCCAAGAGTCCGGGGCCGAGTTGTCGCCACCCGCGGCCTCTGCACTAGTGCTGCCGGCCATCGAGGGAGTGATGGCGGCGGTGGCGGTGGCGGCGGTAGCGGCGGCGGGCGGGTTCGGGGTAGCGTCTTCTTGTTGCCCACTCACAGCCATACCGTCCTCGTCCTCCAAGACAACGGCGAGCCTCCCCGAGCTACCGCGAGAGGCCGAAGACGAGAACGATTCTACGGAGCCCCCGGCCGATGGCGCCGACCCGGCCGAAGGCGAAGAAGCAGAGTCTGACGTTCTCGCCGCAGAAGAAGAAGAAGAAGAAGAGTCCGAGCTACCCCCAGAGGACGAAAACGAAATCGTAGACACGGAGCCCCCTCTCGACAGGGGCAACCGAGGCCGGGGAGAGGGCATTGTCGGCACTAGAGCGGCCGCCGCCATGACCGCCGTCTGCCTCTCCGCGGACCGGACGATGGACGGCAGCCACGAACGCACCTCACCGATGTCCGGCCGCTTGCTGGCGTCGGGGTCGACCATGCGCCGCAGAAAATCACAGGCGGTGTCCTGGAAGTGGTGGGTGACGGGGGCAAAGACACAAAATAAAGCACCAAAGCGCCGGGTTGGATGGTGTATTTGAGTTCACCTTTATCCGCGCAGATTTGTCGAGACGATAGTACATAGCAGCGGCGGGAGCAGAGTGGGAGGCCAGCTTCATGCACGAGCAGAGTAGCAAGGAACAATCGTGGGCTGACCCGATGGATGCTTGATCGGGTGTTGGTGCTTTTGTCAAGGCAGGGTTCCCATGAAAAGGGGTCAATACTACCATAGTATATGCTGCTGCAAAATTAAAGGGAAGGAGGTTATAGTGGGAGCAGTATCTACGGCATCCCCATGGAGGGAAAGATGTCGGGGAAAATGGGAGAGGGGAATGATCGTGAGGGAAAGCTCACCCGCATCGTCTGCTCGAGCGTCACGAAGAGCATGCCCCTGATCATCCTCTTCTGGAATCCATTCTCGGACGTGTCGTTGGCCGTGCGGGAGGACATGCGAAACTGGAGGGAGAGAAAAGCAAGAGGGCGGCACACACGCGTGCACATTAGGTGGCATCGGCAAAGGACGAGGCGAGGGACGATATGACCACCCCATGTACCATATTTGTATAGTTGGTCTGTGACCACGGAAGGTGTCCGCTTCAGTTGGACCAGTACGGATGTTGAGGTAATGGTCAGAGGCAGAGACCGGAACGGTTGTGTTCATGAACACAGCAACACAACAACGGCGACAACGAGGCCAATGCGCGACGAGAGGAAGGGAGACAAAAACGGACGAGAGGCCGAGTTCCGAATCTATTTCCCGCTGCCGGGGGGTGGGGGAGGGTGGTTGACTCTACCGCACCTTAATCTCGAGTCTCTGCCTGCTCGTGGTGGAGCGTGCGAGTGCCTCCCTCTCCGCGGCGGTGTGGAGGACGCGACTCGTCAAGAAGTTGCTCGAGAAGAGGCCCCGCGGCAGCAGCAAGGACAGAAGCAACACGCCCAAGGCCCAGACGTCGTCGGCCTTGTCAGCGGGAACCTCCTCGAAGTAATTGTTGGGAGTGATGGAGTTCCCGAGCGTACCGCAGCCTCTGTGTTTCCTCTCACCCACCGCTGTGGAAGAGCATTAGTGAGGTACGCACGTGGTGGGCATGGCGGAGGGGTAGAGAAGGAGAGAAGTCGCATGTTCAGCAGCTTATGTCTCTGGTCGTTTTAAAATATGTTCCGCAACGATCAACAGCTAGCAAGAAGCGCGGCTCTGCAATACAGCCACTACTCGAAGCAGTGCACCCTCTATTTGTGTGTGTGTGTCGCTCTCTCTCTCTCTCTCTCGGTGTCCTGTGTCTCACCGCGCGACAAGCCGAGGTCGGCCAACTTGGCCACGGTAAGGGTCTCGCTCTTCTTGACGAGGACGACGTTGTCGGGCTTCACGTCCCCGTGGACGAGGTCCTTGCTGTGCATGAAGTCCACTCCGTCGGCCACCTGCGCGGCATACCTGAACAAGTTCGCCAGTTTGCAGGCAGGAGCAGTGTTAGGGATGACACGTCGCCATCTACTTCTCTTTGTCTGGGTGTGGAGGAGTGCGGGATTGATGCAAAATGGGAGACGCGGTTCGTGCATCTAGGGAAGGGTAGGGAGGCAGGTACTTCGTGCCATGGTTATGGCAGTTGCTGTTCTTGTCATGGACCCTTGTAACCCCACACAACCGGAATGGAGGAAGGCGGTTATTCACCCGCCAAGCAGACAGCCACGCCGCACATCACACCAAGGGCACACACTACTGGCTGCCGAGAGTTAAGCAACAATGGACGAAATGCGTCGATAAACCTCAACAACCACTATTGATGGTCAAATCGGCGTTGTGATATTTCACGCTTCGGGGCTGCTCTCTTTCTGCTCTGCCCCCGTCACACGAGTATCGTCTTTATCATCACCTCTCTGCGTGCTCTATCGGCCCGCACGACGTGGGCGGACAGTACGACCGAACTCTCAAGCTTTATCTCCTCCGGCCTGAAGGGAAAAATCAGAAGGCACGGTGGAGTCGGTTCTGACGCAGCTAAGGTGTGCGCATCTACAGTAGCACCGGTATATTTACACCTTCGCTCGAGAGCCTTTGAGACCTGCCTAGGGTCAGGCACGCTGTGTACGGAGGGGTGGTGCGTGTGTGTGAGAGAGAGATTGTTGCCCGCACATACCGCAGGAGGTCGGCCGGGGTGTGGTCGTTGTCGAACATTGCGCGCTGCAGGTCGGTCTGCCCGAGCTCCATCGCGATGGACACGGACTCGCCCTTGTCGAGGACGGCCTTGACCTCCACGATTCCTTCGTGAGGTCCGAGCCTGCAACACACCGAGACAGGACGAACGAAGAACGGCCACATCGAAAAAGGCCAGCGCACCAATCATTGATGGGATGGGTATTTTGACACAGACAGGCCGGGGGCGGGGGAGGCAAAGAAGAACAAGTGTATTGGCACACGACGTTGCCCGTTCATATTGTCCAACACTCAACCCACGAGGCGAGGCGCCCCGAGTAGCGAACTTGTTCCCTTATCCGCCCTCGGCGCTGCAGAGCCGGCAGGAATTGATGCACAATCTGGTATGGTAGGAGTTGTTTTCCGTTGGGAAAATGAACGTTGTCTGTACCGCGATTAAAGACCAAGAAACGCGACTGGCCACTGTCTACGACGTTGCTGCTCGCAAGGCATGGGTGCAGAGAGACATCGGAGAACATCACGAATGCAGGTAAACAATAGCAATCCATGACGTGCTCCAGGTGGATGCGGCAGCATGAAGTGGGTTGACCGAAAAAACAATCGATACAATGGGTTGAAACCGATCTTACCGGGTGAGGTTCTTCGCTTCTTCCTTCAGGCAGGCCATGCCTTCCTCCTGTACCGAAAGGAGGGATGGAGCAGGTTGATGAGCATGTGTCCGAAAGCAGCGGCAACAGCACCATCACCATCACGAAAGCGATTGGGTGCGGAATTGGAGGGGGCAGTGCGGGAGGGGAGGCGGTTCGACGAGGAAGGGGTCTACGTGTGAGAGGCGTTGTTTGGAGCGGGGGGATAGGCGAGAGTTCTCACATGATCGCATCGTCGGTTCTCCCAAAGCATGATAAAGCGCCTCTTTCTACGTCCAACGGGCGTTTGTCGTCAGAAAATCAACTTGTGTTCCGGCGTTTTAAGAACAACATACTCCAGGTACACAGGGCATGGATCCCACCATGCGCCCAACGCAACAAACAGAACACATCTACAACGGTGCTGTCAGTCGCGGTGTCGAGCAAAAGGTGTGCCTGGGATGGTTGTCTCCTGTCACCCATGTCATCTACCAAAAAACACTCACGTCGTTGGCGGTCTTGACCGCGTATGTCTTCCCCGTGGTCGGGTCCACGGCCTTGCGCACTGTGCCATGCCCACCAGCCCCGAGCTCGTCGCCCATCTGGAGCAACCCGCGTTCCGGATCCAACGCATGCTGGGCAAACACCGCCTTCGCGCATGCATCTTCCAGCTGACGTCGGACGAACGCGGTTCCCAAGCCGTCGCCCACTGGGCGTGCGTCCGCCACGCCCTGCTCGGTACCCAGTCCTTCCCCCTCGGCGGTGGCGGTGGTGGCGGCGGCCTACCGGGAAAGGAAGGAATAATAAAACAGAACATAGGGTTCACATATTTTGAGTTGCTTGAAGCCAAAAGATTGTTGATGTTGGGAGAACCCGGCGACATATCCCTTGCGTGATGTGTTATGCATGAGCGCCATGGCTTCGTTGACGTTGCTGGCATCGACCACTTCCGAAAGCACTTGTCTCCATTAAAATGGGGATGGTGCGAAAGTCTAGAGAACCGGGTGGACAACTAGGCCGTGAAACACGTGTGCCACTGACCACGCCAAATGGCGAAACCAACGACCGCACACGACCGTCACACCGGTAAAAGGCGTGCGTTGGGCGCTGTGCATACTTTTGGTGAAGTTTTCTCGCCACATGTCTTGTGTTCCGCCTTTTCGCGACAGACTTGCTTCACGGCCGTTCGGTCGGTGAGTCCCACGCCTCGAAATCGGTTCTATGCAGGGCACACGAGCTGTTCTATGCTATGTGCAGCCCATTTCGTCGGGGTCCCTCATCCAGAAAGGCATTCCATCATGCTCCCGGTCTACCTCCTGCCCCCTGCCGCAACAGGACACTACACCATGGTAAATACTGATCAATACCTACCCCCGCCAAGAACGAGGTACCCCGACTTACCGCCAGGTTCTGTAGCATTGCCGCTGCAGCAGAAGAGCTTGCCCTCTCCGCCAACTGAGCGCGCAGGGAGAGGTTTTCCCTCTCGAGCTGTTGCATCGATGCCTAGCGATGGAAGAATCGAAAGAGGACGGCTTCAGTAGAATGCGCGCACACACAACGGGTAGTGGTTCTTTGGTGCCGACGTTCCGCATAGAAGAATGCAACGCTCCACTCGAGGTATCTATCTGTTGACAGAAAATCACTCCAATAACTGAAGAGTAGGGGGGAAATGCCGGTACTCTCGCGTCACGCAGTGCGCCCGAGATTCGATATGGGGGCCTGCCAATCGTGAGCGGCAACAAATGTTTCTAGTCGATCGGTGTCCAGGAGAGACCGATGTGCTACACGTCAACCTTACAGCAGAAACATGTTGTCTTCCTGTATCGTAGCGCACACCTTACTTCCGACACGGGAACGTTAATGCCACCCGTCGCGAGCGTTTCACAGTCGTACCAACGAGCTTTATCCGAGTGCACTATAGTAGATTGTATCATGATACTTGTACAGGAGTGGTGCATCATGTTTGTGTGTTTCGTTCACTAGCACGCACCGCGCCAACGGAGCGACCAATGCACAAGACGTCCGTCTACGCGGACCAGACAAACTTGCATCCATTCTTTCTGATTTCTGAGTGTATGAATGTGTCCTCGTTCTCTCACCTGGATGCGATCGACTTCGGCCTTGGTCTCCTCCAGAGACCTCTCCAGCTGCCTAGTGCGGTCCCGCCGGCGCTCCAGGTCGGCTTGCTGCTTGTTGCAGCGATCCACCGCGGCGCGCGATCGTACCTGGACGAGCTCGAGGGACGCCATCACATCCCTCAGCTCGGCCGCTTTCGCCAAGCATCCTTGGCACGGTTGGTGGCGTCCGCTGCTAGAACAGAGGGCTTGGGCCTTTCTCTGCCGCCCTTGAATCTCTGCTTGGTCGCTTGGCTGACCGCCCTCCAGGCTTTCGCGCCATCTCTGGCCGGGGAAAAGAAGACGAAGTACGAAGGCACAGGAACAAGACGCCGAACGTTGTCGGGAATAATTCGAGAGGGTCTGCTAGGATCAGATTCCACAAAGCAAACAGATTAACGGCTCCGTGTGGAGTACGCTGGGGTTCCCACCGCCATGCATGTAGTGGCCGTAGTTTCGTCCTCCGAGAGCAATATCAATAGTCCGTCGCGGTGTTGTACATGCGTTTGCGACAGAGCCCGCAGGGTGAGCACAAAATGGAGACAGCAGACTGCATGGGTATTGCGGGAACATGTTGCCTTGCAGCCTGAACGGATCGTTCGGTAGGCCTTATCACGACGTAAATAGTACAACTAATGGGCACGCAGGTCGGAGTTCTGCTCTCGCTAGCGAGAGGCGCACGCGCTTGAAGGTAGGTACACTAAATAGTTGGTGCCGCCCCTACATGTACATTGGTGAGACCACCACACCAACACTTGACAATCGTGCACATGGGGGGCTATGGTAGAGCCATGGTAAGGTAGCTCCACAACAGCTGTGGTGATATCTACAGCCTCTTGTGGCATAGTTTGGCTGGTGGTGTATGCTGTAGGCTACGTGTGGAGACGAAATAACTGCATGTCGCGCGCAACGAAAATATAGAAAATGCCCGCCGAATAGTGTAGTCTAGGCCTCGTCTGTGGCGAAGTAGCGGTGACCTGTACATCTACAATGCATATAACACGGCATGACAAATATCAAGGTTGTACAAGACAACAAACTTGCCTCTGTCCGCGAAACGCAGTCTTCCGAGGCGGCAGAACGGCCGGAGAATGCACCAAGCTTTCTAGAGTGCAATCTCGACCGGTACTGCTGTAGTCGCTGCTGTTGCTCTCGGTCGTGGTGGTCATCATGGCACTGGTGGTGCACGTGCTGCTGCTCCTGCTGCTGCTCCTGCTGCTGCTGCTGCTGCTGCCAGTGGTGGTGCTCCCCAGCGTGTTCGGAAGCACCGCCGGCCAACGGTACATCGGCCGAAAATGCCCGACCGTTGTACAGCGCCGCCGGTCTCTGCTCCGCAGTGGTGGCGCGTGTGACAGGCGTGGAGAGCTCGTTCTGCCAAGTGGCGGTAGGATCGCCGGCGACGAGAGGTCTCTGCGACACATGATTCGGCAGGTTGGAGGGAGTTATGCCACGGCGATCGGCATGGCCTTTTTGGTGTGGGCGATACGTGTGCAGAAGCAAGGCAGCGCGCAGATGTGCGAAACTGGCATGTGGCGAGCAGGTCGGGTGTCGGTTGGTGGCATGGGAGCAAAATATGCGGCAGGTTTGGTGCCGTTTCGGCATATATCGCTGCTGTAATTCACCCGCACAATCGCCTGCATGCAACCAACAACCCCAACAAACAACACAGCCCCTTGTTGCCTGCTAGCCTGCTGCCCCTCTGTTTGCCTGTCTTTCCATCTCTTCCTCCACCTCTCTCTCTCTGTCTTTCTCTCTCTGTCTCTCTTTGTGTCTGTCGGTCTGTTGGTCTGTCTGTCCCTCTCGTGCGCTCTCCTCGAGTGCTCGTCCTCCTCTATGGAAGAGGCACGCAGGGTTGATATGATACTCTAGAGCTTCGTGGTCTTATTTTGTCGTGCTGCGAAACGTTGCACATAGATATCGATGGCGCTATGCAGTAGTGTCGATTCTGCTAACGTTGACTAAAGTGTAGACCATACATGATGTACGGGTGTAGTGTACTAGCCCAGTGTATGTTTCGCGTTGATGTTGCCAGACATTCAATTCAGAAACGCCGCTATGATAGACTTCTGCTGTATCGGTTTAATTGAGAAAATTCTAGTCACCCATGAACGATCCTCGAATCGAGGGCTGCGCTTGAACATGTTGACCACTGTTGTGGCCTTTGCGACGTGCACCGCACACCTCATCACACATGAGCTGTTCGTGAGAAAACAACCACCACTCACTGCTGTAGTTCCGAAGGGGGCGGGCTTCGTACAAACTGTACGTGCTGGCCTTGGGTATGGCAGACCGTCTCGATAACTTTCAACTTTCTCATGGGATACAGGCAAGAGAAAAACGCCGTCGTACCTCCTGCAAATACGCGAGATGAGCAGAGAGTGAACGACAAGCGATCAACGCTAACACCATAGACTATGACAGCGCGGGCCCCTCCAATCTTGATGCCACTGGCCAATCTTGTGTCCGCCCCCTTGCCACTGGTTCACCTTCCCTGAGTGTCGCGCGTTCTTTCTTTCTGTTTGCGATGCGTGCGTCTTCGCTCACCTGTGAAAAGGCTGAATTAGCCATCTCGTACAGACGTGCCGCGCTTCGCGTAGCAACGTTCTGCTGACGATGGCTAAGGAACGATGCCTCTGCTGTCGTTGTGGTTGTTGTTGTTGGTGGTGGTGGTGGTGGTGGTGTGGTTTTGTGAATCGGGTCTGAGGGTGCAAAGGTGTGATCAGCACAACTATATAGCTCTTTGTCTGGCGTGAAACTCAGAACAGTAGACTAGTGATTTTCGTGCTCTTGATTGTAAAGATTCTTCTTTACGAGGATGAACAGCAGTGAAGCGACACACACACGGTTTGATCATTGTTCCATGCAGCACGAACTGTTCCCTTGGTCCTCCGTTTGCCTCTACATGTTGAGCAGACCAGAAACGTTTGTCAGACCCTCTCGCTCAAAGTTGCCCAAACATGTTTGAGTTTTGGCTACGCCTTATATCCTGCGAAGAGATTCGTTGACCCAGGAGAAGTTGACCTATCCAAGAGTGTATCATGATGGTACAATTATTGCGCGGATGGGGGTCGAATACTTGACTCTCCTGCTGAACAGACTGATATGCATACGCGATAGCAATTTTTCTCTCCCGTAGCACCCATGACGTCTCGCCCCCGACCGTTAGGCCCGATCGTTCCAAACCATGCTCTATCTCGGTTCAGCTTTCAGCAGGCACACATACACAGGAGGATTACACACCACCAACAACAAAAACCAAATTTGCAGCATTTCGGTTTTCATCGTCGAGAGGGGACGGACGAAGACGTTCTGGACAGAGGTTCGGACAGGAAATTATTAGGAAACATATGCATAAAAACAAACACAGGAAGTTATGAGTGTGTCTTCGACAACAACAGCAACAGCAACATCACTGACATCACCAACAACAAGGACCACTTTTTTTGCATGCCCCAGATATCCGATCTCCTTGCACTCCCTCTGGACCACACCATAACAGATAGATGACTTGAAGTTTTTCCCGAGAGTTCTGAATATCAGGCGCGCGCGCATCCATGAAAAATTGCCCTGCGCACGCTAACAACAACTCACGCGTGTGCGGGCAAGGTTTCTATTTAGACGCACGTGCTGGGGTGGTGAAAACACGCGGTGCGTACATATGGTCTCTCGTTCCGCCGGGAAAGTGGTCCAAACATCCCTCTCAGGAAAACGTAGGAGCCCAGAGAAAAAACGTTTGTGAGTCATTTTGCCGTACGGTGGAGAGGGGCAGATGAAACGGATATGATACTACAGTTCGGTGCAACATATATCCCTGGGCGAGCTCGACGACAGAGACCTGCCGGGGCCTTGGGCAGCTGCGGCCCAGCGGGAGCGCGACTTTACCATAATTATCAACGATGTTGGTTTCGCGATCCGTCCCAACAACCGCAACTCCTCCACTTCCACTGCTGTCGCTTGCGCTAGTTCCGCCACGCGCGTCGTCCTTTCTCAGGCTGCCTTTGCAGTCAAGTGAACAGACCGAAAGAGTCCATTGGGGCATAAAGTGTTGCCACACTTGGTGCGGCGTGCACTTGACTTGTAGCACTGATGTTGTTGCAAGCACGAGAAGATACCCAGCTACGGACGCACAAGAAATAGCCACGGAAGATGGATGTGAAAACGTCATCACTATGTTGTGTTCAATTGCCATAATTTATATTTTGTGTCGCCTCTATGCATGCAGACGGAGGGAGATATCCCCCTACTACACGTTCCGCGCAGCGCAAAGCTTCCGCGGTATCCTAAACGTGTCTCTGTTACCAAAACACAATATCTCCGTCCGAATATCACCGACCTGGGCGAACTGTTCTACACTTCTGCAGCAGTCTCGAACGACTGGGCCTCTCAGTGATACAATACCTTGCCGCCAGAAAAGAATCCCATACACCGACATACACAACTGCCTTGTTCGGTACCTTGATCTCCCTGTTGTTGTTGCTTTTTCTTTTATATATATATGGCTGTCTGCCCATCTGCCGCCTCTTTGTTCTGTTGCCTCCGTTACTCCCATGCCCTGGTGCGTAGTGCCTGATGCGGGTACGGTACCCTTTGATTTTTTCTAGGCGGGTGTGGGAAGCGTCCTCCTTTTTCCCTTTATATTTTTGCCTTTATTTTTGTTTTGTTTTATTTAGATCGGTTTCCTATGGCTCCTTTTCTCGACCGGTCGGTGCGGTAGCTGTTATTTTCTTTCTATCATGTTGTTTTCTTTTTCCGAGTGGTTTGTACTCTGGTCTTGTACTCTATTCTTGTTTTGCTCCCCGCGGCGTCGTATGTGCCGGGTTTTGAGACCACGTGCTCCCCATTTTTGTGGACTATAGAGCTAATGTGAGAAACAACAACAACATCAAATCCTGGCGCCAACTCCATGTCACATAAAATATCAGGGTGGGGCCTCTCCTGCACGAGGCACCCCCCCTTCCGGTTACATTCTCCAACCCCCCATCTTCGAACAAAAAGCAGCGGCGGGGTGGGCAGGAGAAATTGCTAAAACTTATGGTTCCACGTGCACCTAGCCTCCTGCTCTAATTCTTGTGACCTCCCAAAGCGGGCTGCGTGCTATGTTGTGTATCCCCTATCATATTCCCGTGGGACGCATCGGACACGCTTCGGTCACACTCTTGCTGAAGGAGCAGCAGCGAAGCAGCACAATGAGAACACTTTCTCCTCTGATAAGACCCAAGAAAACCGAACCAAGGCATCCCAACCAACACGCAAGCGAGGGAAAACGAGACCACACAAAAAACGTAGATCGATTGTATGTTCCAAATTCTCCCGTTTCACAGTACACATCAGTTTGTTCACTCCACAACACATTTTTTTATCGATAGAGCGACGACGCCGGGCATCTAAACCGTCTGCCGCCCTCAGCCCGTTAACTTTGAGACCAGACGAAATCATCTCCATCGCTTACCCTCCCGTCTCCCTCCCCCCGCGCCTAGATGTCTCCCGTATCCTCGAATCGCCTCAGAAACATCTACTGTGCCATCGTATCAATCCGGCATTCATGCATACACGCATCCATGTAGAGTAGGTGACTACTACAGGACGTGTCCCTCTCCCTCTCTCGGGAGACAGCGGCACGTCTAAACTTTCGCCTAGCCTGGAGCGCGACGGGAGTACATACAGTTGGGCGTGCACACATACAATCAAGACTACATGGTGCTTCCCTCTAGAACTTCATGGCTGAGCCTTCTATCTGTTGCGATTCTAGGAAGCTAGGAAAGCCCGACCCTCGTCCGCCCGCCGTCCAATCACTTTCCCTCGTAAAAAACAGCATACCATCCTTCAAAACAGCATGCCGAATTTTTAAAGACAAAGATGTCATCGAAACAACAGTATTTACACACACCGTCATATGGAATTTTTCACAATTTTTCCCGTCCAACCAGCCGAGTCCTATCGTCCCCTCGAACTAGCCACAAAACAAAGCCAGCACCCGCCTAGAACTGCCGTCGGCGAAACCGCTTCGCTGTCCGAAAGCCAAGTCCTTGACAACGTGCTCCCACAGCTTCATTCAAGAACCAAGCCCCCCCCAAGCTTTCACTGCCGCAGTTCGCGGGTCTCGATGGCCTCTTGAGCACCGAACCCCGTCTCCTCAACCCGAGTCTCGAACTTATTTTCCCTCTCCACTGCTTCAGATTGGTCCAAAATCCATGCATCGCTGGAAAAAAATGCCACGGGGTCCTCTCCCGAGATTCCCGCATCGGCCTCCATCACCGCCGCCGCCGCCGCCGCCGCGTCTTCCACCTCCGCTTTGGACACCGAACCTTCGGTGACGACGTCCTCACGTATCCCTCCGGCACCCCCGCTCCCAGGGCCCTCAGTGCCAGCACCCAACCTTTCTTCCGCCTCGAACCACGCGAAAACATATTCGGGGGGAGAACCGTCGCCGCCACCGCCGCCACCGCCTTCGCTGCCTGCGTCATGGGAACCGGTGAAGACGCTCGACTCTTCACCCCTGAAGCTCCGTCCCTGTTCCTCCTCCTCCTCCCCCTCCTCCTCCTCGAGCCTGCTTCCTCCTCCCGTGGCTCGCCAGGCCGCCGCCGCTGCCGCCGCCGCTTCCTCCGAGAGCGCGGCGCGCTCATCCAGGGCCTCGAAGAGAGAAGCCTCGTATGACGACCAAGACTCAGACACGGACGACCACGGCGACAGTGATTTTGACGGTGGGACGTCGGCATGACCCGCCGACGCGGAGGACGAACTTGTTGTTGCTTCGACGTCCCATCCCCCATCCCCGGTCCCCGCGCCCCCGGCTTGATCTTTCGTGACGGCAGGGGGGATGGGTTCGTGGGACGTTGACCACGAGGAGGCAAAATACTCGAAACTGCTCGACAGCCAAGGAGGAGAAGGGCGTGAAGACGTAGGGGATCGGAGCCCCTCCCGGACAGTTCCGCATCCTTCCCCCGCCTCCTCCTTCTCTCGCAGCTTTTCCTGCTGCTGCTGCTGCTCCGCCAGCATGTCCTGGTAGGCGTCCCCAATCTCCTGATCCATCTTCTGCCACATCGGCCACGCGCTGCCCCACTTGTCGTCCAAACCGAAAACGGCTGAGCCGCCGCCGCCGCCGCGGATGCCGCTGCCGCTGTCCTCGATCTGGAAGTGCTCGAGGAACATCTGGAAGTCCCTTAGCCCCCTGTCCCCGCACAGCAGCATGATGAAGTTGCCGTTGAGGACGACGGACGGGGTGCCGGACACAGCGGCCGTGAAAATGTTCCCGAGGTCTCCGAGTACGATCGGGTCAAACAACGGGTCCCGCATGGCGCTGCAACGGAGGAGGAGAGCAAGAACGGAAGATGAAATGAGTACAAGAGGAAGATATGCTCAAGAGTAGAAAAAAAACGAGCAAGTAGACTGTACGAAAAGCCCTGGCCCTCTAAGATTCCCGCTTAAGCGCAGCGATCATGCCCTCTGCACAGATAGCCCCCCTTGTCTCTCCGCCGCGAATGGGGTGCATACTGGAACCACACAACACGTTTGAACAGATCGGCGCAAACGACCCCGAGGCAGCCAGCGCCTACAACATACCACAGCCGGCTGGCAACCAGGGCCAGACCCTAACCACGACGTACCTGTGGAAGACGTCTGCGGGAATGCTCGAGAAGGACAGAGGCCAGTCGCCAATTATGTCTCGCGCCTCATCGACGGTGAGGTCCATGCCTTGTTGGTCGCCATGGATGGCCTCCTGCCCGAGGAAAATCAGGTCCACGAAGCCCTCAACGCCGTCAGACGTTTCGCCGGCGTAGGCCAGGAGAACTTGCGCCGCCTACAATGTAGGGGAAGTTAACGGGGGACGGTTGTGTTGGAACAGGAAACAGACGGCGCTGGCAGCGTGTGGCCCATGAAGAGCGGCCAGGTATCTCTCCAGTCTCCACACCGAGATGGTCGACTGTGGAAAAGAGAGATTGCCGTCCGCACGTTTGCCATGCCACGATTCGTGCTTTGGTTTGCATGGGAAAAGTGATTTGCCGCCCGCACCCTCGTCACGCCACGATTCGTGATTTTCAGTTCACCGGGTTACACGCACACCTTCAGTACGTACGTACCTTTGCGGCAGAGTAGACGATCGGGTCGTCGGACAGTGGCAGGATGTGGAACACGAAGTCCACGCTGTTCCGCTGGTCGCTAGCGGCCCTCTTGAGTACCGGCCAGGCCCTGGCGCTCTTCTCGCAACCGAGGCCGAGGAAGACGTCAACCTTCACCTGGTGAACGGATACGCCCGAACGCAGGCGCGTTTCAGCAATGTTTCGAAGCGTGCACACGAAACAAGACGAAAGGGTTGGTCAAGATACGAGGCCAAGGAATAGAGGGTTTGGGACGCCGTCGACTATTGGTGTTCGTGCACCACATGCTCAATGGTATTCTCTGTGTTGTTTGTTTTTCTGGAGGAAATAAAACCACCGCCTCCAGGTGACCAGGTTGCATCAAAAGGATAATGCTGAGGAATGCGTGGCGCTTCTCCAAGTGAAATCCTGAGGGAGGGCGGAAAACTCCGAGCGGGCACGTCTCGCCCACGCCGCGTCCTGAAAGATAAATTCAACGCAGGGCTAAGACACTCGGCTGTATCGCTAATTCCAGATGTGCGCTCGGCGTGATACCTTCCCGATGAACCAAAGGTCCCGACCGAGAAATGTTCAACGTGCTGGCGCAAGCAAGCGCGGACCACAACGATTTTTGTGTTCGGCCCGACATTTACAGGCCTTGTGCTTATAGAAGCATTTCTGGTTTTTCGTTGCGTGCTAGCTCACAGACGTTCGGACCTTGCTCCAAAAGAGTTTAGATAAGCCTTTTTTTCGCAACCGAATTTTGTCCCTTACTGCTGTAGGCTGTAGGCTTCACAGTAGAATGCCGGGTGCCCACGGAAATTCATGAAAATCCATGGCCCGTTCCATGTTCCACGGAGAATGAATGTGATCGAGAGATACATGTAGCATGCAGTCGACGCAAGGTCGCGATAGTTTGCACACGCACATCGTCTTATCGATAGGCTCAGGTCGTTGCCAATACAGACAGCAGTGCGGGCCGGCAGATATCAAACAGTGCCAAAATCAGGTAAGGCTCATCAATTTCTTCCTTTATTTGAGCAGTTGATGAGGAGTGTTCCTCCGTATTACTGCTGTAGGATCCTCCACCGACCTGTGTTCCTCCTGCCTTTATTTCTGAACGAAACAATACTGCGGGCCCGCATCCAACGATCGCACACAGATCGCACAGTAGTAGCTGTTAAAAGGGTCGGTCTTTACGAAGAAATCAGATCTCGAAATCACATTTCGATATAAGAATAAAAGAGTCGGATCTACCCAAATCCGGACAGAAATGGCCTGTGTGTCTTAACGGGAGATCTGCCAAATGGAAACGAATCTCTCCAGTCAACCACGAACAACCCGAGAGGTCCACCACTTGCCCAACTGCCAGATTGCTGTTGTGACGTACTGCTATGACGTGGCCACACCACATGGGGAGCTATCGCTCCCGAGAAGCACACACCAAACGCGTACATGGCCTCTGTGCGGTTCTGACACGATGTCTATGCATGTGGCACTTTGAATCGACCCTCGTCCGACGGAAAGCCGCCAATTCGTCTGTGCATTTGAAGTTCGACAACCCACGGGAGAAATCATAGATTAACACATCCCGCACACGGTTTTTTTCGGGACCAGTCACGTGCAACAACGATGCGCTGTCACTCTCCCTTTGGGTTGGCTTTTTGCGCTCTTTCTTTACTCTGTGCTCGGCGGTGGATGGAGTTCGTGTGGATGGGGGTAGGTGGGCACGCGCCGTGTATGCGAGTAGACCGTGGTCCCGCAACTATGGACGCTGTTCACCCAAATCGGGATCCGATTAAATGATCTCACCTTTTTTTTTTTTTTTCTTAATATGACACAACGAAACCATCTCTATGAGAAAAGAGTCTGAGACAGATTAGCTTTTTTTTAATCCCGATTTGGTTTTGGGTCGTCCTGTTATAAGTCCTGAAGATTCGACGGGTTCCATAACATTTCAGCCAATCAACGAAAGAGTTCTGTGGATCTTCCGGTCTTATAACCAAATGTGAATGTGATTCCGAGATCTGATTTCTTCGTTAAGACCGACCCTAAATAACAACGAGGCGACAATGGACTCGTCTACATAGTGCAGCACATGCTGTCAATATTGTCCAAGCAGGGTGCACTCCTGCCTCCGGTTGGTGATTAGAATGGTTGATGTGATGATCGAAAACTACAGGTGAGCAACACTCTTTTTCGGAAAGATCCCAAAAATTGTGCGAAAAGAGGAACAGCAGTTGCAGTTCGGCGTTGGGGGAGCTGTGGGGTGTGGGTGTCGCTATACATACGGGAACGCGCACGCATACCAACACCACCTCGTCTCTATCGGGAGATAAAAGCCCATGATACACCTAGGCGAGATGGAGTCATCAAAAGTGCTTCTCGTCCTATATACCTGAATTGGCACTCATTGACACTGATCCTTGCGGACCATGCAGAAACAATAACAACGCCCGCCGATATTCTATTCCGAGAAGGCGCGCATCGCAGGAAGCAGTGACAGGAGTGATACCAGCAAATGAAATTATGAGCGATCGGAGCTTTTACCTACAGCCGTCAGGAGGGTACAAACTGTCGTACAACTGGCCACGGCTATGCGCGTTGAGTCTCACGGTGGTGCGCTTTCTACTCGATCCTCTACACATCTATCTGCACCTGAGCGTGTGTGTCGTGAGAGAGGAAATGCCGTGTTCTACTGCTGTACGTGTAGAATACAACCTGCCTTACCTTTTGCCCAAGTTGATCCAAACCGGGGCGCACGGGTGTTGCTCCGCCCGCCGCAACAGCAGCAGGGCCATACGTGGGGGGGGGACGCTCTGTTCCAGCAACCTGCGTAGCGGCCATCACAATGCTGCACAACAGCACGAGTAGCGCTAGCAGTGCGGCCGCAGTCGACACGAAAGGCGCCATCCTTGCCGACGACGTTGAAGTCGTTGAAGTTTTGGTCAGCGTTTTTGGGTGTGTCCTGGAGAAGACGCGGGAGGTGACGAGGTGAGAGGTTCCACACGCAGAAACCAATGATCGATCTTGGATTGGTGCCAGACTCACCCAGCTTCGGTGGCTGGTCCAATACCAATGGTGGCGTACACGGCAGGTGAGGTAGGTGCCCTGACCCCGCCGTACACGCGGCAGGTGAGCCGATGCGGGTGGTACGAAGCGGAGATGATCGGAGATGGTCTTTCAGCTGGTGATGGATGGCCGCACAGCGCGCGGAGTGCGCTACTCTCCGTAGCTGCGAATGCTGAGACTGATTGTGGGGAGACTCGACGTAGTAGTGTTCAGCCTGTCACCTCTCATCGAGATACACCGGGGACACAGCAGGTATGCACCACAGGGGGAATCATGAAATCACTCAAAAGGGGGGTCAACACACAACAAGGGATTCTCAGAAGTGTCGTGTTTCGAAAAACCTTCTTTTCATTCTTCAATCCACGGCGGCGGCGGACAAACAATCCAACCCGGAGCGGCACGAAGATTTAAGGAATAATAAAAACACACACAGAAAGACTACCCGTTCGAGACATACCCACAGTCGAACGGGATGTGGTGGAGTCTTTTCAGTGAGTGGAGGGAAACCGGCTGGGTACTGGACTTATTTCGAGTCTTTTTAAGTCTATACACTGATGATTTATACCAGTGATGCCAGCTGGTGCTATGTACAAAAACATCTGTATAGGTAACTTACATTTTACAATACATCCCCTGTAGTTCTCTACTGGGTCAACGGCAAAATATCGGGGAGAAACCCTCCGTTGTGCCGTGTATTGTAAATTGTAACCTTCACAGGGGACACGGCGCAGTGTCTATTGACAGCTTGCTGGTTTATTAGACATATTATTAGGAATAACATTGTAAAATTCATGGAAGGTGGAACAAAATCTACAGCAGCAGTACATCATCAGTCCTACATCACTCGTTTTTCAAATCTACAGATTTTTGAATTTCACGGACAGCAGGTGTTTCCCGCCGTTTTTTTTAATTTACAAATCGTTTTTGATCCTTTACAAATACTGGGTGAGAACTTGGCTACGCCGCGTTCTCGGAATGAATGCGGCGAGAGGGCGCTGGAGAGGGTAAGGCTAGCGATCAACACCCGACCAATCAGAGGGCGGCGTGCTGCGTTCTTACTACGTAGTACTTCAGTAGATAGGAACATTTGGTAAATAGTGGCTGTCCGCCCCCGCCCCCTCTGCCGATTGTTGCCTTGTCCAATGTGTATTGTGCCCGTCCAATGTACTTCGAAGTACTCCTATGTAGTAATAGAACGCTAAGGGTGTACTCCGGAGTAGGCTCACAGCAGTGTTGTTGTAGTACATAATGAAAGCTCACAGCAGTGTCACGAGAATGTTATACCACCAGTCAGTATCGGATGTGTGTGGAAGATGTGACGGAACATACAAGTAAAAGAGAATGACTCCTTCTGAAGGCGCAAGGAAAAGGATAAAACAGGGGACGGACATGATCTTAATAGTGCTTGAGCAGCAGAGGATCCTAGCCCCCTCGATGTCATTCCTACCGATACCCAAGGCAACAGCAGCTACTACATACTACTATGTTCTGCTGCTGTTCCACGAGGAGGAGAGTAATATCAAGTGAGTTCTTCTTCACGGATTATCCACCAGACAGCAGATTGCACCACGCGTGCATACCACTACACAATCTTGGCGTGCGTCGGCAGGAAAAGGGGTGATGCAGGGTGACACATGGGTGACACGCAAGAAAAATTCCCCAATTTTTATTTGTATACAAGGTCTCCCTTCGGGACGTGGGTGTCTACCCTCCCTCAGGTGACGCAAGACCACATGCCATGCGCATTACCCGAAGAGGGACTGCTGTGTGTCTTACAACGCTTGCTTGTATTTCCGCACAAAACATCGCGCACGTTGTTATTCTACATTGATTGGAGCCAGCTCGAGCGGACAATATTTTGGCAGCGAAAGCTCAGAATTCCATGACGTCTTTGATTGATAATGGCAGATTTCCGATGAGACCCAAATTTGAAGCCGAAACAACACCACAAATGGGACATGTTCAACACTGCGGCTGGATGCATGCTCTCAGACTTGCCTACACTTCGCCCGCTGCGAAGTGCAGTAAACGTAGGTACTGCTGTTGGACAACGCGATGACACGAAGAGTCACAGCCAGCCATGAACAATCGAATGAATGAATGAAAGAACGAAATGAACGGGGAGAGGCAAGAGGCAAATATTTCAAACCAACCGTCGTGTTTAATGGGTTCGATAGGTTTCAGAATTGGTTCGCCAGGCTTTTTCAGCGCGGAACGCGTCCCCGGGGTTTTGAGCCAGTTTTCGCAACTTTGGCCTTCAACCACACGCGCCACGGAGGCCTACCGCGCTCCGGGCACGGGCGTTAATGTACCGACGAGCCTCCTGCGTGCCTCTGGGAAGGAACCGCGATAAAAGACTCGCTGCCGCGAGAGAAAGTAACGCCGAGGCATGAAAAGTGACCAAATCTTATATGTACACATATTGATTGGGGTTTAGTCTGCACAATCCCGCAAAAAGGCAATAAAGAAATCTTGTCCGAAATTTCGATACTACTTTGATCAAGTGAAAAATGTGATCGGAATCGATACAAATACATTAATCAAGTGAAAAATGTGACCTCACGGCGCTTCGCGCTTGCTTGATGGTGATGTGACCTATACTGCACAAATAGCAAGTTTTTTTTTTTAATAGATGGGCACGAACTACAACCTGGGGGGGGGAGGTTGGGAGGCCGAGTTCGACCTTGAACCCATTTTTTCTTCAGGCTTGCAGCCCGCCGTGTTGATTGCAATAACGCCACTATCCAAGATGCGGGATACCTTGCACGGTTTGGGCTGCAACCTCCCTACAACCTCCCCCCCAGGTTGTAGTCGGTGCCCCTACGCACAACCTGCCTCCGGCCGCCCGTGAACCGATTTCGTGTGTGTGTGGTCAAGGGGCGGACATCATGCAGATTACACGTACGCATGTATGTTAAAAAGAATGTACCGTCGAACATGAGGACGACCATGCATGGTAGGCCAGAAAGAATGAATCAGTATGTAGCGTATTATGTCCGATTCGCTAGAGATGGGCAGGCAGGATGGCGTGCGTTTGAATTTCACTGAGCGTTTCACTAAGCTATGATGGTGGTGGTGGTGGTGGTGATGGTGATATTTCACCCACCATAGACGGCGAAGGCGGTCCTACGGTGTCGTGAGGGAGAGTTGATGGTGTTCCGCTGGTGGTTCATGAAAATAGTAAGAAGAAAGAATTAAGACGTCGGGAAGAAGCAAGCAAGTGGTGGTGGTGTGGTGTGGTCGTTTGCGTGTGTGTGTGATGTGAGATATGGAGAGGATGAGTTATCGGTATGTGAAGAGAAAGAGATTTCCAACGACCCCAGACAATCAACTCATGCAAATCATCACAATTTAGAAGATGTTCGTTTTTTGTAAGAGACCTATGGTGTGTGGTGGGATTGTCCGATCCGAGGGTGCAACTTGCCAGACAGTTCTGAACAAGGTTACGACTCCGGGTGACGTCAAATCATCACAATTTATAAGATGTTCTCGATTTTTGTAACACCCTTTGGGGGAGTTGGGGTTTTGGTTTTCACGGTCAGGCAATCAAAACCCGAGTTGATTCGTTATTTTTTCGCTCCGCCAACAGCAGCCTCGACTTGTAGTCTTCGATTCATTGTTTTTTCGATGTTGACTTCTGCGAATACCACACCGCCAGCCGAAACACGACGTTAAAAAAAAACGGGGCAGGGTACCTCCCAAGGCATTCACATCACAACAACTTGCCTGCCTTTGCAAACAGCTTGGAAGACGGCAGACACCGACAGATAGACTGTGACATCTCCCGCGAAGAAGCTTGATCCGGTGTAAGTCAGCCCCCACCTACAGTACCCACGGTTTCGACAACGGCCACTCACTGTTGATTGTTTTGGCGACGTTCTATACATCAACCACTTCTTGCAGTTTCCAACCCAGCTGTCCTGCCTGCCTTATACAGCCACTCACGAACCTGAGGAGTGAGTCAACAACTTCACTCTCACACAACGAGAATTTTAACAGCTTCCGCCATAGGAACATATGCTCAACGAAAAAACGGTCCTCTATTACGACAAAATAAAACGTAGATAGTCGCCGTTGGTCGCTCACAGACCAAGTAAGAAACGAGCGCCGGGGAAAACCTAAGTTTCTTCATAGGCTGCACGTTCTGCGCTGGGCAACTCCGATCCAGGACTACGCATATCACTTCTTTTTCTGCGAGGCCTTTACTTTGTGTATGCGAGAGGTGCTTTATACCTAGCTGTCCTTCCCTCGAGTGTACCCACGAACAACCGCTCCAAGCCATGGACTCCGTAGGTAATTTATGACATGCCAGAAAATCCTTCCCCAGAAGCATTCGGACCCACGAGCGTACGGCAGGCGGCTGAAGCCTAGCCCATGGCTATGCCTCAGAGAGAACAACTCTCCCTCTCTCTCTCTCTCTCTTTCGATCGCTCGCTCGCTCGCTCGCTCGCTCACTTCTATCGTTTCCTACAGGCGCTCTCTGTCACTGATGACGGCGAGCTCATCTGAATGTCTGCCTACCGGCTTACACACGCTTCACGCCCGGCCGGCGCAGCGAGGACGCGGGACATTCCGAGCCGAAGCTCTCACCAGCAACAACGTCGAGCAACACAAACAGGCGAAAGAAAAATATATATATAAAGAAAGGCCCAAGGAAACAATTGGACAACAGAAGCAAAAAGCCGGCACAGAGTAGCCAATCGTGTTCGCATTCTTGCACCTGATTGGTGGCGGAGCTAACCGCTTCAGCTAACCGCTCGGAGCACAGCGGGGGGGGGGCCGAGCGCTAGTTTTGTTTAGCGGTAGCTGGAAGAACCTACGCCTGACTACACTACGTACGCAGTTCACGAAAACCTGGCCACGATGCACGTTCGTACGTCGCTAAAAGCACACTTCGTCAAACAGCCCATAAAACCTGTTGCCTCGAGTGAGAGTTGGTCCGCTCTGGCCCGCTTTAGTCGATAAGTTGCACACCTGGAGAGGTCTAGCTCTTCTCTGAGAACCGGTTGGCTGGCCCTCGTGTCGGCGTACTCTTATGTTTCACATGCCTTAGCGGTTAGACTATTGACCACCCGTCCTCTAGCACAGCGGTGGGAACGGTCATCTCCGAAGCCTTATGACCGGCTGCGCGCGCGTGACCTTCTGCCGGCAAATGATGCAGGGCTTGCCTACGAAGCCCGAGCCGCACCGCACGCACGTGCACTGGTGGGCGCAAGGCAGGAACAGGATCTGCTCTCGCGTCGTTGGGAATTGGATTTCACCAGGTTCCACGCAAACACCCAAAAAACAGCGTGGCGGCACCGTGCAATGAGGAGGGTATGGGGGGGGGGGAGGGGGAGGGGGTCTTCAGTGCCACACAGGCCCGAGGTGAACATGCCAAAAAAGTTGGCTCTCTATTGGGTATTCGTCACAGTCGGATATACAATGGAATCAGAGGACTGTTTTAAGGGGTATTTCGGGGAGGAATAGCAGACCACAGAGCGGCCGTGGGGATGGTAATTCTTGCCATGGGAGACATCTGCTGGCACGGCGGCGAAGCTGAAGCATTGCTGAAGTATCTCGTGGGCGCTACATCACTACTCCGGCATGAATCAGAAACGTTCACGCGTAACGCGCGCGCGACAACAAGACAGCCGAGGCGAAGGCGCACCAAGATCCAGATGCAACGCCGCAACCACCACCACCAATGCCTACCCGTACCAGTTGCCCTTAATAGTGGCAGGAGAAAGCGAAGGAGACCCAAGGTCGAGCACTGCTACCCGGACGTGACCATGTTCCTCTAATTAACGAGGCTTGGATGACTTCTCTCGTGGTGGCCGCCTCACCGGGCAAGCGCTGTTATCGGCAGTGACTGCCGACACGCAACAACGCAACCTCCGACGAGAGGTAAGAGGCCTGAGGCAGCTAAAGAGCAACAGCAACGACGACAAGACCGTCTGCCGCGATGCGAGCCTCGACGGCACACAACGTACGGCAGCACTCACCCCCACAAGGGCGTCCATGCAAATCTTGCACGTGTCCGGGTGATCCGGGTCCAACCCGTCCGAGTCATCATCATCATCGTCATCCTCCACCTCCACCGGCGTCGCCATGACGCCGCTAGCACCCCTGACGACCGCCGCGACCCTCTGTGCCGAGTTCTCGCGTCTGCCTGCCGCGCCCGGACCACCGCCGCCGCCGCCACCGCCACCGCCGCCGCCACCGTCCCCGGCATGCTTCAAGGCGCTCATGATGCGACCCTGCTCCGCCTGTCCTCGGGTTCGAGGTGTTATGGCGTGACGGAGAAACAAAGCCGTGGGGGGGGGGGGGCGTACTCTTATGCTTTGCATGCCTTAGCGGTTAGACCATTGACCACGCGTCCTCGAGAGGACGGAGCATTGTTCCCACAGGACCGATCACCGATGGCCAATCGTCCCTTCCTACTTTGCCAAAGGTGGCTCAAAAATGTCTTCCCTAGTCTGTCTATCCTACCGATGTCACTTCCCGCCTTTTCAAACCACTTCCTACTCCCCAGTACCGCTACCGTCCTCTCCTCTCTATTCCATGCCTCAAACATCTCCCTGTACGTCCCTTGTATTCTTCCCAGCTCAGTCATGTACACTTCCCTCTCCTTTTCGTACCACGGACATTCCGCGACTACATGAACACTGTCTTCGCATTCGAAGCCGCAATCGTATTTGAACTTGTCGTCTTCGTCGTCTACCGTCCTATGTCTTCGTCGACGTTCGCGAAGGCCTATGTCCCCGGTCCTGAATTTGACCTTAAGCTTTGTCCCTGCATCCATTGGTCCATGTAGGTAATCCTTGAACCCTATTCCTTCTTTCAACATTCCGTACACTTCTAGACCCTCCTTATCCTTGGATTCTTTCCTTAGATTCTGTTCTTCTCTGTCGGCACAAGCAACAGATATCTTCTTCTTGAACCCCTGTAGACCCTCCGTTTCCAGCGTTTCATCTTCGTCGATGTCCAATCCCTTCCATACGTTCTCTACAACCTTGACCCATTCCGTGGGTTGTCTACCCCTCTTTTTGTTTGCCCACTTCGCCTCCCATACTATTCTCGGCAACCTCTCCTCTCCCATCCCGCACATGCGGTACTGCCATGTCAGCTTCCTTACGTCTCTTCCCGACCGTAGGGATTGGATCCCCAATTCTGCCCTGACTGCTGCATTACTTGTGCGCTTGGAGCATCCTAGGATGATTTTCGCTGCTTTCATCTGCGCCGCCTCGAGTTCTTTCACTACCTTCTTATTTCCTTCCCATACTTCTCCGGCGTACTCTAGCGGCGGTACGATTACGCTCTTCAAAACCGTCAATTTGATGCGTGTATCAAGGTGCCGGTTTGCGAGTATTGGGTGCAGCTTCCCTGCTCGTGCTTTGCCCTTTTCCGCTACCTTGGACATGTGTGCATTCCACGAGCAATCTTTTGCGATCTCTACTCCGAGGTATGTGTACTGGTCCACTACTGCAATCTCCTCGATCCCCCACTTCCATCTATGTTCTACTGGTTCCTCCCTGCCCTCGTTGCGTACCATGACGGCACTCTTCGTAACGTTGGCAGACAATCTCCACTTATCAGTAAACTTCTTCGCCGCGTCAATTTGCAGTTGCAGTCCCTCAGGGGTGTCCGACATACCAACAAAGTCATCCGCAAACAGCATTCCTGACACCGAAGTTTCCGTGTCCCCTACTTTTACTCCCTTCCGGACTGCCTCTACGACTTCCAACAGATCGTTGATGAACACCTGGAACAATGTTGGGGACAGCGTGCAACCTTGTGGGACCCCCTGCTCGATGTCGAAGAATTTAGACAGTTCTCCGTCTAGCATGACCGCGCTTTTCGTACACTCTGTCATCTTCTTCAGCACCCTCCACATTTTCCCCTTGATCCCGTACATGGACAATTGTTTCCACAGCCCATTTCTCCATACGGTATCGTATGCCTTTTTCACGTCCAGGAAGAAGCAGTACGTCCGCTTGCCCGCCCTCTTTCTACCTTGGATGATTCTCCCTACCGTGAATGCGTGGTCTACGCACCCCCTCTTCTGTCGGAAACCTGCCTGGCCCTCACTAATGCTACGTTTCTTCTCCAATACTCCCACTATCCTATCGTTCAGCAGCTTACAAAACACTTTTCCTACTGTGTTCAACAGTGTGATACCCCTGTAGTTTCCTGGGTCAGTCTTGTCTCCTTTCTTAAACAAGTTCACAACCACTCCTTCCCTCCATCTACTTGGCGCATACTCGTTTTTCCACACCCAGTTGTACAGCAAAGCCGTGGGGGGGGGGGGGGGGTTGCAGGAAGGAAACCGTTGCAGGGAGGGCGATAAGCTTTGTGGATACAGGGAGGGCTGTTGTCTGGGTGTTGCTCTATAGCTGATGCCATGCAATTCGCTGGGCGAGATACCCGCGAGGAGCCGCGAAAGCTTTGCCGAAAAAAACGAGTTTCCGCACAAGCACATCCATACGGTCATGAAAACCACAAAAGCACGAAAACTGGCCTCACAATCCAACCAACGATAGCACCAACAACGAGGACTCCCACACCGACCACAAAAGCCCGAATCACCGACGCGCCTAGTGTGCCTGCCCCAAAACAAAAAGCACACACACAAACCTCGGTGACCCCCATCCTGTCGAACTCCCGCCTCTCCATCTCCAGCAGCACCTCCCCGTCCAGCTGGTCTCGCTTGAACCTCTCCAGGTGGTGCTCGCACCGCGCCGCCCTCAGCAGCTGCGGGAGCTCGACGCCGCTCACGTCGACGCCACCACCGCCGCCGCCACCGTGACCCCCCCCGAACATCACCGGCTGCGCCACCGGCTGCGCCACCGGCCGTGCGCCTTGCGGGATCGCCCCGCTCGGCGCCCGCATCCCCACCGCCGCCGCCGGTCCGGCTCCCGCCATTGTTCTCCCCCGCCCCAGGTGTCCGATCATGGCTTCGGTGGGCATCATGGGGTCCGGGAGGCGGGCGCGGGGGGCAACGCCTCCGGGCCTGCCTGCAGCGGCGGCGGCGGCGGCGGCGGCGGCGATGGCGGAGGAAGGGGGCTGAAGAAGGGTGGGTTCGATGCCCTTGGAGCGGTAGAAATCCTCCACCAGCCGCCTGCCGGTCTGCACAACAACACAGGGAGGCGTTTTTCTATCGTGTGTGCTGCATGCGCGGGGGGGGGGAGGGTTGGTTGCGGGTATGGAGGACGTAACATGCGTGTGTTCAGGGCCCTATTTACATAGAGCTACTACAAGGTAGTACACCCGAGCTACCTGCGAGGCGAAACAAGTGAAGCGCGCACAGCAAGGCATGGCGTTTCGACTTCTTCGAAACGCTGCACCCCTGCTGCCGTCGCCGCCGACTGAAGCACATACGTCCGTAGTCTGCTCCAACAAAAGCCCTTCCCGGTCCCTACAGCTGCACGCCGAAACGGTAAGCGAGACTTGGCCACAGAGACTACCGCGCGAGCGGGCGGGAGTGGCGGCGCGGTCGCGACTGTTCTCGCCAGAGCACGGTCTCTAAACACCAATGAATCGGCCCCCTGCCCAACCCCTCGCTCACTTGCTGTTGACCATATCCACTCCGAATAAACGGAACAAAAAAAAAATCATCACTGGTCCTTGTTGTTGTCAGCTCCGACACAGCAAAGAAGATTCTAAGCCCAGACACATCCCTCAGAAGAAAAAAGAAACGAAAATGGAAGTCTTGCCAGGACGGCCTGGGGCGAGCCCGTGATGACGACGTCGTGTCCGGTCTTGTCGGCGTAGGTCTTGAGAACGATCCTGGCCCTGCTCTCCTTCATCAGCCTGTTGACCGTCTGGCCGCCCCTTCCGATTACTTGCCCCGCGATGACCTTGTTTTTCCCCCCAATGAAACAAAAAAAATAAGGTGAAACGGATCGGAAAAAGCACGAAAGGTCTGTCGGCGTGAGAGGCTAAACTATATTGACGCTGCGATCGATACTGAAACAAAAAAAAAAAACTGTGATACGGCTTTCTTGGTAAACTTGACATGCCGTCTGCACACGCGAAACATTGCCCGCGCGAGTCGAGCACAAATCACCCCGCCCTCATGTGTCCCCTTTGTACGAGGTCCCTTTTTGTGCGAGAATTTTACGAGCCTCGGGGGTGTAGTTGCTGTGTAAATACGTGCCGTTAATTCTTTTACTTCAGTTCGGTTCTATCTACGACACAATATGTTTTAGACATACAACCCCGCGGATGGATGCGCTATTCATCCCCGCCTTCTTGGAGTACATATCATGTTTGTTCGTAATTCTTGGAATTAACAGCGGCAATTTGTCAGCCCCCGCTCGCGAACGAAAAGTACGCGTGCGCATGTACACCCTGTCCCTTGTCTCACGCACGTTCGGACAGAACATCTCGTACTCAGTAGGCCTCTGCGCCGCCATCGGCGGCGTAGGAACACCGAAGCCGGGTCCGGCTTGCCGAAGTCCCAGTGCGGGGTTAGGGGGGGGCTGGTTGGCCTGGAGCAGTCGCTGCTGTTCCTCCCTCATCTGGGGACGAGAACGGCACCGAGAAAGAACACGACGCGCGAGAGTGCAAGAGAGTCGGAGCATGCAGCAAAAACGCGTTCAGCGCGGGGAAAGTATGCTCACAGAGCAACAAATAACAAAAAAAAAAAATACGAAAGAGAAGATTGGCGTCTTGTCTGCCCGTGCCCCCAAGACAACACGGACACGCAATCTTTCCTGGCATTTGGCCCTCCTCTCTGCATGTTCCTCTTGTCCTGAAACCACCGTATTTATAAATAGCAGCCAGCACAATACCCCCCAGATTGTCCCACCTTAACGTGACGTCGGCCGCACCTAACCTCACTCGTCACCAAAAGACACACGCCCCGAAAATTCGGCACGTGCTGGAGACCAGAAGAAGAAAAGGCTAAAATAAGAGGCTCATGTCACGCGTTTCGTCTTTAAACCCACGATACACGGCTGGTGGCAAAACAAGAGACTCTCTTGGGAATTCAGTTCAGAAATATGATTGGTCCATTCCCGAATCCCGATCCCTCCCGCATCTGGAGGGGCGAGATATGTACGCTCGACAGAACGACCCACCTCCCCTTCCTTCTTGTTGAGCCACTTCTTGCACTTCTTCTTGATCTTCTTCATGTCGGCCCCGGGCGTCTGGTCCGCCTCGTCGTGGATTGCCTGGACCGCTAGCGCGTTCTGTGGATCAACATTTGTCATCGCCAGCGTCCGTTGGTGTTTTCTCGTCAGACGTTACTACCGCTTGGTGGCGTTGACTGCTGCAGGAATGGTTAGTTGTGCGTACCACGATTTTCGGGGTTGGGTCGTGCATGTCGGGGAGGGTTGGGGAGAGGGCGAGGCGTCCCGAGGCGTTGCTCTCGTCACCGTATGCAGAGAAGGGATCTCGTGGGTAAGATCACGTTATGCCTGGCACTTCCAAAACGAAAATGACGACGGATCAAGGGTTGGTTGTGTGACTTCTTCGAAAGCATAAAGAATTCGAAGCACACCTATGCAACGTCTACGGCAACGACGGTTGCCGGTCGAACGCAAGCAAAGGCACCTCATCATTTTCCACGTAAACCACCAGCAACAACAACAACAACATCAACCGGTGATGCATGTGTGTCGTCTATTGTCCCATTCTCCCTGGACGTTAGTTGTCCCACAGTTATTTGGTTTACACTTTCTGGCAGCATCAGTCGGGTCCACACATGACGTCATTGCACGCTGCTGCAGCAGAATCTCATTCTGCTTCCGACGGTTCTGGTGACACGGACAAGGAACGACGCCGCAACAAACAACAACGCCGACAAATCATGCGGCGCGCAAGCAAGTTTTTCGCCAACAGACGGGCGGGAAAATGCTTGGAGGAGTCGCTCTAGCTCCTTGGTCGGTGCTGCATGCGCCCACTCCGCTCCCGCAGGCCTTGGTCCCGGTGCTCTTCTGCAGCCTCTGTCCAAAACACCTCGACCTCCCCCTGTCCAGTACTGTGCCCTAATGAGAATTTCACAAAAAAAAAAAACACCTACGCACCCCTCTTGCAACACAACCAACCTACTCACTCCGCGTTCGATGGCCTTCTTGAGCCGGACCTCCAGCGACATGTCCACCACGAGCGATGCCCCCCCGCCGCCTCCTCCCGAGCCGCCACCCTTCATGGCCGGCGGGCCTGCCGTTGCCTCCGACAACCCTGTCGCCACCCGTGCTCCCGACGTCCCTCTCTCCGGCACGGGGGCAACAATGCGCTCCTGTCTCTTCGCGCCGGGGGGCGCCGCTGTCGCTGCCGCGTCTTTCTTGGCCTTTCTCTCCTCCTCCTCCTTCTCCTCCTCCTCCTCCTTAGCTCTCCTCTTCGCGGCCTCGCTTGCTGCGAGCTCGGCGGCCGCAGCCATTGCTCTGCTCTCACACAACAAGGTAAGTATCGGCAACAGCTTCGTCAGGTAGGTGGTGGTGTCTCACCGTGTTTCCGGATTTTCCGCAAGGCCGAGTTCGGATCTTGCCGTTTCGAGTTGGGGTTGTTACACAACTTTGGTCGGGTGTGAGCTTGTTGACCTGAGATCTTCACCTGTCACTAATTTCTTGCTGGTGCACCGCTATAACAACTGCCCCGACTTCGTGGGCCCATCCATTCCTCATCAGCCCGTCACGTATCCGCAAAAGAGAGAACGGAAACATTTATTGGAGATACAAGTATGTCGATTCCGAGACGAACACATTGTAAAAAACTGATTTGAATGATATATTGGGTGGTTCAAGTAAAGCAAGTGACGCGTCCTAGTGGGAGAACAGTCGCTCCGTGACTGACCATGACCATCGCCTAGCCAACGTGCGCAGCGCGCGCCACAGCGTTGCCACGACATGGCAACATTCCAGGTGCCGATCGACCGGTAACAAACGCCACAACAACATTCGGGAGTACAAAAAAAAAAAACTTTCTACCGACGAGGCTCAGAACAAAACACGCTCAACAAAAAAAGAAGCGCAGTCGCCCCCGTCCGCAAAAAAACTACAACAAACTCTCGCTTCGACCCAAAAAGAAGAAACACACGCAAGTCACCCTGTCCGCACCCAACGCCCGCGCCGCACCTGGCTTCTGTGGCGGCCTTAGCCTCGGCGATGCGAGCGGCCTCTCCAGCGGCGGCCTCTGCCTTGCTCCGAGCAGCGGCGGCGGCGGCCTCCTTCCTGCGAGCCGCGGCTTCCTCCCTGGCGACGGCATCCTGCATCTCCCTGTCCTCCCGCTCCGCCTCCGCCCCCTCCGCCCGCCTGGGATGGAATGGGGTGGGATGGGATATGGGGGGGGGGGGGGGGTTGTGGGCATACTTTGGTGACACATTTTACACTCCCGAACAAAAATAGCCTGCTGCCGCCTTGGGCGGGGATGTATTTAGTGCTTTCACACTATTTACGCTCTGACCCCTTACGACAAGAGTACTCTCAGTGAATGCCTACTCCCACCTTCTCAGAACACTCGCTTCCTACGTACACGCCATGTGTTTTTTTACCCCTGTCAGGCGGGGAAGCGAGTGCAGCGGCTGCAGCCCTTGTCCTTCCACGAGTGAGAGCATCAGCGCGTCGTCAACAAAACGAGCAAGCCTCCCCCACACGCTTCCCAGAGGGAAACCAACAACGCAACAAGCAGCGGTGGGTCCTTCACAAGGTGCTCCACATTCACCCTCCTCGGAACAACCACAGCACAACGGGGAAGGATCTTGCCGACAACCTTCCGCAAAACCTGTGTTCAGAGTTCGGTCGACGACACCAGCCTCTTTGGGAGAGATCGCGCTTCAAAACTGGTGGTGGGTCAAACAAAAAAAAAAAAAAAACTCCACCACGGCCTTAGTCGACGGTATTCTTTCCCGCACCTTGAGGCCCGTCCAGTCTTGGCTGCCTGCTGCCGTTTCTCGGCCTCCTGAAGCTCAGCCATTTGCTCCTCCAGGCTGACGGTGGGTACGGCGGCGGCGGCAGCACCGGCCGCAATACCCTTTCCCCTCGGTCCAGCCTGATTCTCCTCCTCTTTGCCTGCTCTCGCGCCGCCAGCACCAAGCCCTGGTCCGATTAGCATCGGACAAACAAAAACGGGAAAAAAGAGGTTCGAGGTCTGGGGCAGAAAAAAGGCAGGGGGCCGTGCGGACCACACTGCGATTCCCACTCTCGCCGCTCGAGTCGAACTCCGAAATCATTTCGCGAGGCAGACGGGGGGGGGGGGGGGGGGGGGGGGATCCGGGGGGCCCCTCTGCTGCAAAAGTT